GTTTTTTATTCTTTGTTGCTGAGCTCTTTTCAGCGGTGGTCATCTTATTCAATGAAGTTTACCAGTTCAATCCAACTTAACTAATTGAAAAAAGAGAATCTTTTCGTACCTTCCACGCTGACAGGACTCAAAAATTACCCAAGAGCAGTCACTATGATCCATTGTGTTGGATCTTGCAGCTCGAATCTAACCTGTTAAACCTTTTTTGATCTAGAATGCAAGAGATGGCTGGTTAGAAAAGCTGGCAAAAATCAAACTAAGATGAAAACAATTGTTTAGCCAATTAAGAGTTAGGGTTTGGAACTCCCTGACCATGCAAAATCGTTGTTGTGTTGTGTTCTTACTCTTTTCTTTTACACACAGTCCTTGACTTATTTAACGAGATGTTTCTACTGGCTTAGCAGTTAAAATAATTTTAATGTTTATTTTGTAACATCGATATACGTAGGTGGCGGTTGCACTTCGGTAGTGACCATTAGCTCTAAGAGCAACGATCATCTTCAAGGTGCTGAAGTACACTGTTTTAGTCGACATTGCGTTTTCTCTTTGTCGAAGAGAACAGCGAAATCGTGGCGCGAAAATTAGGAGACGAAGATATACACGTGCACGAAATTATGCATTTTGAAGGTAAAGCTGTGAGCTTGATAAATGGCGAATATTTCAATAAATTATTAATGTTTTTGTTGTTCGGATCAGACTGCACAAGAACATTCTCAGGTACACTATGTTATCACATGAAACAAAGAAGGTTTAACTTTCTATCATTTATACTATTACATGTTTGTCCACCTAGAGTTATGATCTCTTGGGTCAATTGAATACAATTAGGGTTTTGCGTTCTACATTCAGTTTATGCACTTAGCCTTCTATTTTTGCCTCTGCTGCAAATTTCAAGAAAGGCAGTTACATCTATGTTTGCACTTAGAGAGCTTGGAGATATTTGATTCATAGAGATTCCATTGCATATGATTTCTCACCTCTAACCTTGACACTTTTTTTTCAGGAACTTTAAGAGTTGATGTTTTGAAAAAGGGTGACACTTTTGCCGTTTTCACCAGGTATTGCTCATTACATGTTTGAGTTTAACTGCTGTTTCTTGTTGAATACTATGAGTAATTACATATATCCTCTTTGAAACTCAATTTTAGATACCAAGTGGCCCAGAAAAGTTTAATTCAACAAGTGGCTATGGAACGTAAGTGTAAGATAGATGAACTAGTTTCTGCTAATGTAGATTACTTTTCTTTCTCACCTCAGTCGAAATCGTGGTTGAAGTCACAAACACCCCCTTCCATTATGCCTAGGGCAATGCAAAAACCGTTATTGATGGCTAAGTTTGATCGGAACGGACGATAGAAAATTTGACTCTCAGTTGTGAAGCACGGAACTGGCTGTGCTCTTTTCTTACGTGACGTATGTCATTTTGCTTTGCAAAGCGAAGGCACCTTTTTCTGCCTTTTTTATAAAGGATTAACTCGTGCATAGAAATAGAGTAGGTACAAAAATAGAAACCATTGTAGTTTTTTAAGCTTTGTTTTGTTTCCTTTTTGTATCTTTACTTTTGCTTTGGGGAATACAGGTGTCCACGCATAATCATTTCTTATTCTTATCCTTATCAATGGCCATGGGAGACAAACAGTTGGACAAATATTGACGTGGGCTGCCGCATTCACCCTGATTGCCACAGAGGTAATAGAAATAATGATAGGCGATGATGAGTTATGAACTCTCGTCTTCTTCTGCAATGAAACATAGAAGACCAAGAATAACCAGATACATTCGAATAAGATTTACCATTTGGTGGCGGAATGAGGCGAATCCAGAGAGATGAAATTTTGGAACTTAGCTTCATGCTTTTTAACTTTAAAAGTGTTTAATAACATGAGAACTAGTGGCTGGAGAAAAATTTCCAATCCATATATTTAAGAGTTTGGTTGCAACGAGATGCGAGAGATTGCGCCAGTTTATGACTCAGGCAAAGTCAGTCTTTGCTACTGGGAAAAAACATGTGGATATTTCCCTCCCCCCAACCCCCCCCCCCCCCCTTTCTTAATCTCTTAATCCACTTATTTTTCTGGTCACCAGTCTTCAACGAACATGACGTCAAGGAGTGTGGCCATCAGTGGGATTCATCAATATGAATGGCAATTTATTTCAATTGCAAATTAATTCTAATTGATAGCTGATTAATTCATGATTTTAAACCGATTTCCCTAGAACATCAGTACGCGTATTTTCAATCTCATCGTCGATGCATTTACCAAGGTGCTGACAAGGATAATATGTCGCTAGTCACTCTAAGAGGTTAAAGAGTTAAGACTTTATAATCTACTTGTTGTGCAAGAAGTATTCCATGTGAATACAGACCCTGGAAGACGCGCCTTGTATGGTTATCCACAGTGCCATGGCAAAAACAATCATGGAATCTACCTCAAAAACTCAGGGATGTCGTTTTTAAAATCACTCTGCTTCAGAGAAATATGGTGTATTGTCCCAGCATTCTATGAATCAATCAGTAAGAACCGGAATGAGCTGTGGTGGTATAATCATGAACTTGACTTTCCAATCACATCCTTCCAAGTTTTACCTCTTTCTCTTTTATCCAACAGACCAACAAAGACGAGCATTGTATGGTTATCCAATGTACCACTACAATAGCCATGGAATCTACCGAAACAAGTGCGGGATGCTGTTTGTAAAGTAATCCTATCTGGGAGAGATTTGGTGGAATGTGTTTTGTTTTGTTTTAGTTGTGTTTTGTTTTAATGTTGCTAAAGCCCTGTGACGACGCGTGACTACGCCTAAAAATGGAAAAGAATTTTTTTTCCTTTTCATATAAATACAGTGTTTAAAACTTTATTAGCTTAAGCTATCTATCTCAAATCACAAGCTTACCAAAAAAATTTAATGAGAGCTTCGAGGTCATTCCTATGATATAGAACCTGCGCTAAGATTTTTGTCATACTTTACCTAATCAATTAATTATCCTATAGGTACGTAACTTTTGAAAGATTATTTGGGGTCCCTGTCCTCTTTAGGCTTAGATAGATACACATATGATTCCTATAAAATCATGCAAATCCTATCTGAGTACACTTGCTAAATTCGGGTTTTTGAAAATTGTTCCTTTTCGTATTCTGCGAAAAAGTTTGCTCAAATCCAAGAAAGAAAGAAAGAAAAAATGATAGGTCAATGTACTCGTTTACGAGAAAATCATGATTTACATCTTAAGTGATCTATGACCATAGAGAAAAAGCCACCACTGTTTGTGTGCGCGAGTTAATTTGGTTTGAAACAGGTATGCGTAGTAAGGATGTGTAATGTTGTACTACTAGTTGAATCAACTGAAATGAGAGCGCAAGTAAAAACCTTAAGCGCTATGACGCATAACTGTCTGTAAATACAGCAAAATTAGTAATGACACCAAATGAATTTCCCTTGTTTCATGAAACTGCACATAAAGCCACGTAAGAACCTGCGCCTCTGACGAAGCACTTAAGCACTGGGTTATGATTCTTGGAAGAAAATAAATTTCGTAATTTCGATGATGATTGTTCTCGCTGTTTGAAACAATTTTTTCATATATTTTCATTAAAAGTAGCTTGTTATGATGACTCTCTCACAGTTTTTCTGCCAAACCCAAAACAAAGAAAAACCTAAAATAGATAAAGCTTTCTATACAATGTATTACACTTATTCAGAATCTAAAGTAAATATAATGCATAATTGATCAAACTATTGATTGTGTTGCTTGGAAAAAAAAGATAAAATAAAAACAATTAACACTTAAAGTTTTCATATCGGGCCCAATTTTCGAAAATTCGAGGGGGTAAGTTAACTTCTTTCCGTCATAATACCAATTAAAGTGGTACTTGTTTAGGTGTAGCCTTTTTTAAAAAATTGTTCCCACAGTTAGCCCTATTAAGTTGGATGCGATCAAGTAAAGTTGACATATCTCTTTGAGAGAGAATTTTGTACGCTCATAGAATTTAAACAAAACATTTATTTTAAGCAAGTAACCAAGTCATCCTGAGGAAAAGAAACTGAATTTTCAACCAATATGAAAGTGCTCTATGTTTCCGAGCAGATAACAAATCAGTTACTTCCGTTCCATTTCAATTTATTTTTTGGTCCTTCTCGAAAGTTTTAGTTTATCGGTTTATTTCATCATCTTGGTTTGAGATCTCCGCCATCTGTCGCTAAAACAAGTCGTTCAAATTAATTAAAGTCCTATCTTCATGCGTCGAATTACAATGGTCTATTAATTTTTAATTACCCGATGCCCACGCCTTGCCTCGCTAAAGATCTGAAATATAACTTTCTCTTTCTGCAAAACACAAGTTCGAATGCTGTGAAGTCTATTTGTGTTTAAGTTTCTGTACGTCGAAACAAAAGCCTGGTTGTGCTTCCCGAATGCCAGAAGGTTTGTAATTTACAGCTAACCTGCATTAGATCAACTTCAATTCCCCTTCGTTGACGATATTCTTCTCGCTCTAGTACGTGAAACTTTTTGTCATTATGCATGATACAAAATTGTGGTTAAAGCTTCCATAGAAACCTGATCAACCTTTGCATGAGTCCTTCAAAGTACACTTTTTCTTGGTGAATAAGGCTTTCCTTTTCTAGCGAAGTGAAAGTAATGGTTTGTACAAACTTCATATGAAAAAAGGAAAATCTTGGGGTTATGTGGGATTATAGTAGCTGTCCATATTTAGTTGATCAATTAGTTAGATCAATTCGGTAGGTTAAGTTTATTTCTTAAAAAGAGTTCATTTTGTGTATTACTTATGCAATAGACAACACTTTCTATCGGTTTACCGAGGTTATAGCCCACGCAAGATGTTTGGGGAACTTTAGAAAATTTTGGATTTAGCAGTGCAATAAACGATAGGTTTTTGACTAATTAGGGCTTTCGTAATATCTCATTTGTTCTTTAAAACTTCGAAATTCATCTCAGTTTTATGATGTCATCAAATTCCAGGTAATTGATTGTGCGATGCAGCTTCGTTTCCCCATTCTGGTCATTCTTTTATACTCAGTAAAGATCCTCAACGTCTTTGGAAAATGTCGTCCTTCGACTTACTCAATAAGTGGCTTCCACCTATCTGGTCACGTGATGTCCACCGAGATTGTCCCCAGTCTTTCTGAGTGTTTGAACACGTGTGTAACTAAGATCCGCTGCAAAAGTTTGAACTTTTGTTCAAAAGAGAAGTCATGTATTTTAAATGACGCAAGAAGACATGCCCACCCAGAAGATTATGGAACAAAAGCAGGATGTATCTACATGGATGTGTTTGAATCACCCAAGGTTTGTCCTTTCAATATATCCCCAATGTTAAAATTTATCGTCTAATGATTTATCTCTATTTCTCTCCCTCTCTTTGGAAAAATGAACATAGTAAGATCAGTAGTGAATTAAAAATCAGCGCTAGACACGAAAAACAAACGATGATTTTCTTTTTCCTTTTTTTTTTATTTTTTTAAATCGAGAACCCAGCAAAAGCTTTTTTTCAGTTGAAGTCTTGTGCAGCAATACAGCAAGAATGGCCTCAGGCGGACAGTGGATATTATTGGATAACGATTGGGAGCAGAGAAGTTCAGGTTTATTGTGATATGACGAGCTATGGTAAGCCCTAATCAAATGATTCCTTTCAGTCACGACTTTTATATTAATTTATTACAACTATTTACTAACTTAAGCCTTAGAATCTATTGAAACTTCGATGTTTTTTAATTCTTTGTTGCTGAGTAGTTTTCAGCTTTTTTTATCCTATTCAATCAAGTTCACCAATTCAATCCAACTTAATTATTTGAAAAAGGAGAATCTTTTCGTGCCTTAAACGCTGAGTCTCAAAAATTACCCCAAGAGCTTTCATTAAAATCCATTGTGTTGGATGTTGTAGCTTGAATCGAACCTACAAAACCCATTTTGATCTAGAATATGAGAGATGACTGGTTAAAAAAACTGGCAAAAATCAAACTAAGATGAAAACAAATGTTCAGCCAATTAAGAGTTAGGGAACTCCCTGACCATGAAAAATCGTTGTTGTAGGCGTGCTTCTTGTTGTTGTTGTTGTTACTGGCGTTATTTATTTACTTTTTCATGTTTATTCATCTGTTCAATTTACGTGTTCTTACTCTTTTCTTTACACACAGTCCTTGACTAATTTAACTAGATGTTTCTATTAGCCATGCAGTTGAAATGATTGTAATGTTTATTTTGTTATGCTGATATTTATAGGTGGCGGTTGGACTTTGGTAGTGACCATTAGCTCCAAGAGCAACGATCACCTTCAAGGTGCTGAAGTACACTGTTTTAAACCCACATTGTGTGTTCCCTTTGTCGAAGAGAACAGCGACATCGTGGCGCGAAAATTAGCAGACGAAGATATACACGAAATGTTGCATTTTGAAGGTAAAGCTGTGAGCTGGATTAAAGGCCAATTATTCAATAAATAATTAATGTGTTTACTGTACGGATCAGATTGCTCTAGAACATTCACAGGTACACTAAAATGCTAACCCCGGAATTTAAGAAGGTTAAATTTCTATCATTTATACTATTATATGTTGGTTTAACTGAGTTCTGCATTCAGTGTATGCGCATTGCCTTACTTCTGTTTTTTCATCTGCTGCAAATTTCAAGGAAGGCAGTTACATGTATGTATGCATATAGAGAGCTTGGAGATATTTGGTTTATACAGATTCCATTGCATATGATTTCTCATCCTAACCTTGACACTTTTTTTCAGGAACTTTTAGAGTTGATGTTTTGGAAAAGACAGAAACTTACGCCGTTTTTTACCAAGTATTGCTCATTACATGTTTGAGTTTAACTGCTGTTTCTTGTTGAATACTATGAGTAATTACATATATCTTCTTTGAAACTCAATTTTAGATACCAAATGGCCCAGAAAAGTTTAATTCAACATGTGGCTATGGAACGTAAGTGTAAGAACTAATTTCTACCAATGTAGATTACCGTTCTTTCTTACCTCGATCGAAATCGTGGTTGAAGTTAGAAACACCCTCTTCCATTATCCCAAAGCCAATAATATCAGTTTTTGCATTGTCCGACAATGCAAAAACTGATATCATTGGCTGAGTTTGGTCGGAACAAACGGGAGAATATTTCCACTTGGTCATGAAGCATGGACCTGGCTGTGCTCTTTTGTTACGCCGTGGCCTCGAGCCAAATATCTTCCCGCCTGGCCCTCCCTCTCAGTCAAAAACCCATAGAATTAACGTTAACGTGGTGTACTCAAATTTTAACCAGCCAGCAGCTAAAGCTTAGGGTTGAGGTGATCTCGTCATGCTCCCCATTCTACCAGGGTGACGATGTCATTTTGCTTTCCAAAGCAAACACAATGATAAACTCGTGCAGATGAAGAGAGTAGGTCCAAAAAGAGAGACTATTGTGTTTTGTTATGCTTTGTTCTGTTACTTTTGTTTTTGTCGAATACAGGTGTCCACGCATAATCATTTCTCATTCTTATCCTTACCAATGGGAGACAAACAATTGTACAAATATTGACAAGGGCTACCGCATTTACCGCGGCTGCCACAGAGGTAATAGAAATGTTGATATGCGATGATGAGTTATTAACTCTCGTCTTCGTCTGTAATAAAACACTTAGAAGACCGAGAATAACCAGAGACAGTTCAAATAAGATTCGACATCTGGTGGCGGAATTAAGCAAATATAGCGATGAAATTTTGAAACTAAGCTCCATGTTTTTTACTTTAAAAGTATTTAATAATATAGAGTTTTAAGAACTAGTGGCTGGACAAAAATACCCAATTCATATATCAAAGAGTTTGGTTGCAACGAGATGTGAGAGATTGCGCCAATTGAAGAAACACGTGAAATCAGTTTTAGGGACGCTACCGGGAACAACTTCCTCCCTCCTCCAGCCCCCCTCACCCCCTTGCCTCAGAATAAGAATAAAAATTCCTCTTTTGGGCGTAACTATGAGTGAGCATTTGAAATATCAGCCCTTTCTTCTTCCCTTTCTTAAACCACTCACCTTGACTCTTTTTGTTTCTTGTCACAAGTCTTCGACGGACATGACGATGGGGAGTGTGGTCATAAGCATTGGTGGAAGTCATCAAAATGTAGGAGTAAATGGCAATTTATTACAGTTGCAAAATCAATTCTAATCGATAGCTGGTTAATAAATGATTTTTAAACGATTACCCTCTCACATCAGTAGCCAGCATATTTTCCATCTTATTCTCGATACATTTACAAAGGTGCTGACAAGGATAATATGTCGCTAGTTACTCTAAGGGGCCAAAGAATTTAGACTGTAAAATATTCTTATGGTGGGAGAATCGTTGGTCTGACGGCGAATCGCAAGTGCCTGTTTCGCCCTGCTTTTGGGTGAAACTTGAGAGGTTTACTTTCACAATGCCTTTCTACCTAATGTTACATGCCGCGATGTAAGACCTTCTATAATAGATTAACGTTTGAGCCGGGGAGCACCAAACTTCGATGGCAAAATCATGTGTTTTCAAATAGCCCCTGACTCTCATATCTCATGCCATTCGAAAACAGACCCTGGAAGACGAGCCTTGTATGGTTATCCACAGTGCCACGTCGAAAATAATCATGGAATCTACCTCAACAACTCAGGGATGTTGTTTGTAAAATAACCCTGCTTCAGAGGAATATGGTGAGTTATGTCAGCATTCTATGAATCAATCAGTAAAAAACCGGAATGAAGTCTGATGGTATAACCACGAATTATACTTTCCAATCACATTATTTCAAATTTTACCTCATTCATCCAACAGACCCTCAAAGACGAGCATTTTATGGTTATCCACTGTGCTACGGCAATAGCCATGGAATCTCCCTACACAAGTGCCGGATGTTGTTTGTAAAGTAATCCTATCTGGGAGAGATTTGGAGGAATATGTTTTGTTTTGATTTTGTTTTATCGTTACTAATGTCCTGTGATGACGCACGCCTACGCCTAAAAACGAAAGATAATTTTTTTGCTTTTTATCTAAATGTAGTATTACTTTAAAACAAAATTTTCTTAAGCTATCTCAGATCACGAGTTTAGAAAATAAAATAATTAGACTTTTACGGTCCCTGCTATCGTATAAAACCTGCACCCTAGTCAATTGATTATCTTATAGGTATGTAAATCTTGAAGGATAATTTGGGGGTCCGTTTCCTATTTAGGCGTTGTTAGATACCCATATGATTCCTATAAGATCGTGACAATTATATTTAGTATACTTGCTAGATTCGGGTTTCCGAAAATTGTTCATTTTCTTACTTTGAGGAAAGGTTTTGCTCAAATCAAAGAAAGAAAAAAAAACGATAGGTCACTGTCCTCGTTTGGGAGAAATTATGATTTAAATCTTAAGCGATCTACGGCCATAGAGAAAAAGTCACCTCTTATTGTGTGCGCGCGCTAGTTTGCTTTGAAACAGTTATGCATAGTAAGGATGCATAATGCAGTAAGGTCAACTTCATGTAACAAGAAATCAACTGAAATGAGAGCGCAAGTAAAAAACTTAAGCGCTACGACACATAACTGTCTGTAAATACAGCAAAAGTAGTAATGAGACAAAATAAATTTCCCTTGCAACCTTTTTCGAAGCACATTATTATATCTCTTACATTTGTATACCTCTTGAGATATAGGTCACCCACACCACATACAATCCAAACCCAAATTAAACCTTCTCTGCCGACGCCCGCATTGTATGATTCCAAGGTCCTTCTGGCACATGAAGCTCCTCGCCTTGTACAGAGAGTTTTGCTTTTTGACCATGAATGCTGAGAGGGTTTCCTCGGGTGCCTTCGGGATCACACGGTCAGTCGACAAGATCGAGTCAGTGTTGCAACTGTTTGCTTCATGTAACTGCACATAAAGCCACGTAAGAACTTACGCCTGTAACGAGGAACTTGAGCCACGGGTTATGATTCTTGGAAGAAACAAAATTTCGTTGATTATTGTTGTCGCTGTTTGAAACAGATCGTTGCGATTAAGTCAAGTTGACATATCCCTTTGACAGATAATTTTTGGCGCTTAGAGAATTAAAACAACGTTGACTCATTAATTTTAAGTAAGTAAACCAAGTCCTCTTGATTTACTTACTTCTCCTCCTCAACCAATATGAAAGTGCTCTATGTTTTCGGGCAGATCACAAATCAGTTACTTCCGTTTCATTCAATTTACTTGTCTTGTCCTTCGTGAAAGTTTTAGTTTATCGGTTTATTTCATCATCTACGTTATGAGATGTCCTACCATCTGTCGCTAAGACACTTCGTTCAAATAAATTAAGTTTGCATCGTCATGTATCGGATTAAAATGGTTTATTCATTTTTAATTATTTTTAATCACCCGATGCCCAGGCCTTGCCTCGCAAAATATCTGAAAAATAACTTACTTTTTCTGCAAAACATAAGTTGGATTGCTTTCGAGTCTATTTGTCTTAAAGTTTTTGTACGATTACATCGAAACAAAGGCCTGAATGAGCTTCCCGAATACCAGAAGGTTTGTAGTTTACAGGTAACCCGCATTAAATCAACTTCAGTTCCCTTCAGTTGACGATATTCTTCTCGCTCAAGTACGTGAAACTCTTTGTTATTATGCATGATACAAAATTGTGCTTAAAGTTTTCTTAGAAAGCTGATTAACTTTTGCATAAATCTTTGAAAGTACACTGTTTTCCCCGTGAATAAGACTTTTATTTTTCAATAAGCAGAGTGTTGAAAGTTTAAAAGATGTACAGGGTTTCAATTCTGTCGGTTTTCTTCGACTTCGGGCGAAGTAAAGGTTTGCACAACTTCATTTAGACGAAAAAAATATCTGGGTTATGTGTTTTGGGGATCATTGTATATTTGTATATTTAGTTATGATCGATTCGGTAGGTTGACTTTATTTCTTGGAGGGACTTCATTTTCGTGTGTTATTTATGCAATAGACTACTCTACCTATCGGTTTACCGGAGTTATAACCCACGCAGGATGTCTGGAGTACAGAAGGAAAGTTGGATTTACCAGTGCAGTAAACGATAGGTTTTTGACTGATTAGGGCCCTCGTAATATCTCAGTTGTTCTTTAAAACTTCGAAGCTCATCTGAGTTTTATGATGTGATCAATTTCCAGGTAATTGATTGTGTGATGCAGCCTTTTTCCCCTTTTCTGGTCATTTTATGCTCGGCAAAGATCCTCAACTTCTTCGGAAAATGCCGTCCTTCAGCTTACTCAATAAGCGGCCACCAACTATCTAGTCACGTGATGTCCACCATAATTTGTCTCCAGTCTTTCTGAGTTTGTGACCACGAGTGTAACTAAGATCCATTGCAAAAGTTTGAACTTTCGTTTAAAAGATAAGTCATGTGACTTTAATGACGCAGGAAAACATGCCCACCCAAAGGATTATGGACCAAAAACAGGATTTATCTACTGGATGTGTCTGAATCACCCAAGGTTTGTCCGTTTAATACATTCCCAATGTTTCTTCGTTTGATTGCGAAAAAAATCTGCATTGTAATGATTTATCTCTATTTATCTCTCTCTCTTTGGAAATAATAAACATGATAAGATCAATAGTGAAGTCAAGGTTGACGCTCGACACAGAAAACAAACGATATATTTTTTCCTTTTCTCTTTTCAAATTGATAACCCAGCAAAAGTTTTTATTCGCTTCCAGTCTTGTGCAGCAATACAGCAAGAATGGTCTCAGGTGGAGAGTGGATATTATTGAATAACGATTGGGAACAGAGAAGGTCAGGTTTATTGTCAAATAATTCCTCTCATTTTATTTCGGCTAACTTAAGCCTTAGAATCTATTGGAACATCAATGTTTTTAATTCTTTGTTGCTGAGCCATTTTCAGTTTTTGTCAGTCTCTATTCAATCAAGTTCACCATAGCTGACAAGACTGAAACATTACCCAAGAGCAGTCACTATGATCCATTGTGTTGGATCTTGTAGCGAATCTAACCTACTTAACCGATTTTGATCTAGAATATAAAAGATGATAAATTAGAAAAGCTGGCAAAAATCCATTTAAGAAGAAAACAATTGTTCAGCCAATAAGAACTCCCTGACCATGAAAAATCGTTGTTATGTACGTGGTTGTTGTTGTTGTTGGCGTTATTTACTTACTTTACTTATGTGTTTATTTGTCTATTCAGATTATGTGTTCTTACTTTTCTTGCTTAACTAATCTATCGAGATCTTTGTATTAGCCATGCAGTTGAAATGAGTGCAGTGTTTATTCTGTAATGTCCCTGATCATGCAAAATCGTTGCTGTGGACGTGCTTGTTGTTGTTGTTGTTGGCGTTCTTTGCTTTCTTTCTCATATGTTTATGTATCTATTCAATTTATGTGTTTTTACTTTTTTCTTTTACACAGTCCTTGGCTATTTTATCGAAATGCTTCTATTAGCCATGCAGTTAAAATGATTGTAATGTTTATTTTGTAATGTTGATATATATAGGTGGCGGTTGGACTTTGGTAGTGACCATTAGCTCCAAGAACAACGATCACCTTCAAGGCGCTGAAGTACATTGCTTTAAACCGACAGAGTGTGTTCACTTTGTCGAAGAGAACAGCGACATCGCGGCGCGAAAATTTGCAGACGAAGGTGAACAAGAAATGATGCATTTTGAAGGTAAAGCTGTGAGCTGGATTATAGGCGAATCATTCAATAAATAAATAATATTTTTACCTTTTGGATCAATCTGCCCAAATACATTCTCAGGTACACTAAAATGTTATCATAGAAATTAATGAAGGTTTCAGTGTCTATCATTTATACAATTATACGTTGGTCCATGTCCACCTAGAGTTATGATCTCTTCGATCCATTGAATACAATAAGCGTTTTGGGTTCTTCATTGTGTAGTCGCTTAGCTTTCTATTTTTGCTTCTGCTCCAAATTTCAAGAAAGGCAGTTTCATGTATGTTTGCACTTAGAGAGCTTGGAGATATTTGGTTTATACAGATTCACTGCATATGATTTTTCACCTCTAACCTTGACACGTATTTTATTTTCCAGGAACTTTTAGAGTTTTTTTTTTTCTTCTTCTTTTTTTTTGAGTGAAACAAACAGACGTTTATTATTAAATTTGCACTCGTAAGTTAGCTGTGATCTAAGAAACGCCCATGGGTGGGTGCGTGTGCGTGCGTGCAAGGTTGGCGAGTGTTTTTTTTTTTTTTTTTTTTTTTTTTTACAACATGATACTTACATTCACTATATTAAGGTCCCTTTCACGGGACTCTCTTCGTACATTACGTTACACTACTTACTTACTTACAGTGCTCTTAAGATACAATGAATATTTATGCTACTTAAATTGTTGTACTCACACTATGTAGATTGTAATAATGCACACGTGTTGAGAGGCACATCATTTACACACACACAAAAAAGAGAAACTTGTTCACAAAAAATTAACAGTTACGAAAGACAAAAAGGCTAAATTGTGGGTGGGATAGATAAGAGTAAGGGCTTAAAAAAAACAAAAGAAACCCCCAAAACTACAGCGTTTAGCAAAAATTGACTTTCAGAGGCTTAAGATCAGCATAAGGAGAGTAAGATATAACCTACGAGCAGGCTCACATTTGGAGCCCGCCCGCAAATTATATAGCAATTATAGTGCATGAAGTATTTTGTTCCACTTCTGTTGAAATTTATTCTGTGAATCAGTCACGATAGATATTTGTTTTTCAATTTCTAAATTATATTTCAGCTGTTGCGCATATTCTCTGATAGATGAAGATATGTTCTTAAATTTACAGCAATAAGTATAATACCTTGCGAGGAGCAAACAATGGCTTACTAAAATATCATCTTTCTCTCCTCTAAAACCTAAACATTCATAGATATCCAAAACGTATGAGGCTGGTATCAAATGAATTGAAACGAAAAAACAATGAACCCTTCCCCAAAAGTTTTGGTTACCGAGCATTGCCAGAAAAGATGGATTAATGTTTCCTTGTCTGTTTTGCACAAATAACAGAGAGCAGTCCTCAAAATTTCTATTTTGAATAGAGAGGAATTCGTTGCTATACTTCTGTGGAGAAATTTGAACTGGGAGTTCCTTATCTTAGTAATGAGCGTACACAACCTTGGTAGTAAATAAATCGACCTCCTGCTCAAATCCTCCAGCACTTCAAGGTCACAGCCCATTACCCATTTTTCTTGACCCTTTCGGGGACTTGTCTTCATAGTTCATTTTCATTTCTTACACCTAAAGCCTTGACTCTACCATCTTCCCATTTCAAGTTTTTATCTGGGCACATAATTTGATTTGACCCTCTCTTTGATTCTATCCTGAGAACTTCGGTTTTTCCACAGTTAACTCGCAGGCCAGACAGTTGACCGAAACTGTCTGAAAAAGCAAAAGACCACTCAAGTGACGCTTGAGAACCATCTAATATCAACTTTTAGATTTGAGGTTTTGAAAAAGGATGTTACTAATGCCGTTTTTTACCAAGTATTGCTCATTACATGTTTGAGTTTAACTGCAGTTTCTTATTGAATACCATGAATAATCACGTATATCCTCGTTAAAACTCAATTTTAGATACCAAGTGGCCCAGAAAACTTTGATTCAA